CCATCCCCCAGCTCAGCTCACAGATCCCTGTGTTCCAACAAGCACAGGCTCCAAAGCAAACCCTGCCCATGGGGACACGGCGTCCATGCCATGCTGGCTCCCTCCAGCTGAGCCTGGGCCTGCAGCAGCCTGGCTTGCTCACCCAGCAAAGATTTCCCCAAAGGACTGGTGGAGCCTGAGCACAGCAGACCTTGCAAAAGCCAGAGGGCCCATCCTGATGCCTCTGGGACTCTGAAGCCCTGCTGAAAGGAGAGGCCCGGGGCATACAAATCTTCAGGGGGTTTATTGTCAGGAGAGAAATTCCTTTATAGGAAAGATGAGTTTCAAAACAGCACTGCTCTGCTCTCAAAATTAAATGTACATAGATATCTACACACTCATAAATATTGATAGAATAATGACCATTTTGCTGTGTGATTATAAACCCAAACCAGATAATACTGATTCCCAAACAATTCTGCCCAACCAGGGCAAGGGGATCTGACAATTCCTGCCACCCACTGTCCCATGGGAGCCCACCTGGGCACCATGGCAGGAGCGGGACAGGCATTGCTGGCCCTGCCTGTGCCACCCGCCTCTTCTTGCCCCACCACTTGGCAGCAGACGCTGAGACAAGAGGAACTCTCAGGGTGACACCACTGTAGGTTTTTCCTCTGGCAAAGCAGCTTGCCAGGCTCTGGGGGGGCTGTGCAGGGCTGGGTCATCCTGGTTGCTCTGTGGAAAGGCCGGGTGTCACATCTGCCCAAAGACCTGTCTGGTCACACAGTCATCTCCCCTCATCCCAGACCTTCCAGCTGGGAGGAACGAGGCAACAGCCATGGGTGAAAGCCCTTGGCTTCACAGCAGAGGTTTTGATCAAGGTCCTTTTTGGTGTTCTCAGGATTTTTTTTAAATACAATCCACATTGACCTGGGGATTTTGAGATTTCTGTGTGCCCTTTGCCTTCCTCTGGGATGGGGGGTTTAGTTGCAGTCAGAGCCACAGCCCCACAGTGCTCCCACGACTCTGCCTTGTTCTGTAAAACTCCCTTGTCCCTACAGCCCCCCGCCCCAGCACTGGATCTGAGCCTCAGGGCTCTCCCCAATATTTTACCCTCTTTTTTTTTGGCCACTCTCTTTTTCCCAGGCTGCATCCATAGAATCCACAAACCTCCTAAGAGGCTCTCATCATAAAGGCCATGTCCTCATAAAGGCCATAAACGTTGCTGCCTAAAAGATGCAGAGGAAAAGACTCCAGGCCCAAGTAGGCAGGAGGGCAGAAAAGCAGCAAAAGTTTCCATGAGCCTTCAGGCTCCAGAAATACAAACCTCCACCCATCCCTTCCAACGCAGGGGTTACAGTTTTTATAATGATTTCCACCCAATGCCCGTCCCGTCCCCGCCCCGGTTCTGCCCCGTTCTGCCCCAGGAACGCCCGTGGGGAATTGAGTCTGGGGGAGTTCGGAGCTTTGAGCGGCTGCAACTACAACTCCCGGCGTGCCCCGCGCGGCAAAGGGGGCG